TACATTTCCACATGATGGCGATAAGCCACTTCGTTGAGCTGCTATCATTTGCATTAGCCAGGGTCGCTTCTGAAAAAGAGCTACATAGCTCAGTGAGGTATCACCTGCTAAAATAAAAAAGAGTATAATAGTAATGCCACACTACCACCAATGCTTATCGCTCTCTTAGAGAGAAGCGCAGGAGGAGGAACCACAGACAAGTGGGGAGGTAGCAGCAGCAGCCATGCGCTGAGCTGGTGCCAAATTCCAAACGCTCCCCCGCTCCCAATCCCCCAAAGCTCTGGGGTCCTCTACATATGAAGGTGTTATCGGGAAATGATTGAGTGCTTGTACGTGTGCAAGGAAACTGAGCACCCGGAGAGAAAACACACATGCATGCGAAGGGGAAACACTATATCCCGCACAGATAGAACGTATTGAGATGAGTTTATACGTCGCTGCACCTGGACCGCCTTCTCCTGGCAGAGCCAGGGTACGGCTCCTCTTCGACGCCCACCCATGGGAAGGGAATTGGAACAGATGAGGATTGGTCCAAATTCCGCTGCTCGCCACTGCCTCCACAGCACTAGATCGTCACGACAGGTGACCACGTGCATAACGTAGCTACCGATGTAATAATCCAGACAGCATCACCTGCACTACACACCAGTTGGTCTCGTTGTGCATTCGAATTTCCCCATTCAACTACAAGCAGTTCCGTTCCTGAGACCCGTTCGTAAGTCAAATTGTTCGTAAGCTGGAAGGACAAGCATATACTGTCTTTAAATGCATTTATGGTCAGTGGTATAAAATGTGTTTCATCGAAAAACCAATCATCGTTAAAGTCATAAATAGGAATAAACATTGTACAAATGTACAATTGCCAATCCAAATCTTTTCGCGGTTTGGTTTGCAAGTGTTAGCTCACATTCGAAAGTCAAATGGTTAAAAAAGTATCCTATGGACGCTCGTTTGTAAGCGTGGATGTTCTTAAGTGTAAATAATCGTAAGTGTGGATGTTCATAAGTGCAGATGTTCTAAATTGTGGATATTCGCAAGTGTGGATATTCATAAGTGTGGATGTTTGTAAGTGTGGATATTTGTGAGTGTGGATGTCCGTTAGTGTGGATGTTCGTAAGTATGGATGATCGTAAGTGTGGGTATTTGTAAGTGTGGATGTTCGCAAGTGTGGATGTCCGTAAGTTCAGATATTCGTAAGTGTGGATGTTCGTAAGTGTGGATGTTCATTAGTGTGGATGTTCGTAAGTGAAGATGTTCATAAGTGTGGATGTTCATAAGTGTGGATGTTCGTAAGTGTGCATGTTCGTAAGTGCGGATGTTCATAAGTCACATAAGTGTGGCTATTCATAAGTGTGGATGTCCGTAAGTATGGCTGTTCGTAAGTGTGGATGTTCGTAAGTGTGGACGTTCGTAAGTGTGGATGTTCGTAAGTGTGGATCTTCGTAAGTGTGGATGTTCATAAGTGTGGATGTTCATAAGCGTGGATGTTCAGAATGTGTGGATGTTTTTAAGTCGGGCGTTTGTAAGTAGGGGACTGCCTGGACAACAATACCTCGGTGTACGTTGGTGATGCGTTCCTGAAAGGTGCGACGACGAGTATCGAAACGGCGTCAATCAAAGCGATTTTTCCACGAGGGCTAAACAAAGACAACTTAGGGTACAGTGACACGCTGTGTTCACGTGCACACATTCACCCGAGACGTACCCACAAGGGTAGATCCAATGCCTACGTGTGGCTATTCATAAGTGTAGATATTCGTAAGTGTGGATATTCGTAAGTGTGGATGTTCATAAGTGTGGATGTTCGTAAGTGTGGATGTTCGTAAGTGTGGATGTTCGTAAGTGTGGATGTTCGTAAGTATGGATGTTCGGAATGTGTGGATGTTTTTAAGTCAGGCGTTCGTAAGTAGGGGAGTGTCTGTACAGCAATACCGCGGTGCCTGTACAGCAATACCCCTGTGTAAGTTGCGGATGCGTTCCTGAAAGGTGCGACAATGAGTATCGAAATGGCGTCAAACAAAGCAATTTTTCCCACGAGGGCTAAACAAAGACAACGTGGGGTACAGTGACGCACTGTGTTCACGTGCACATATTCACCAGACATGTACCCACAAGGTTAGATTCAATGCCTAAGTGTTGCTATTCATAAGTGCAGATATTCGTTAGTGTGGTTGTTCGTAAGTGCGGATGTTCGTAAGTGTGGATGTTCGTAAGTGTGGATGTTCGTAAGTGTGGATATTCATAAGTGTGGATGTTTGTAAGTGTGGATATTTGTGAGTGTGGATGTCCGTTAGTGTGGATGTTCGTAAGTATGGATGATCGTAAGTGTGGGTATTTGTAAGTGTGGATATTCGCAAGTGTGGATGTCCATAAGTTCAGATATTCGTAAGTGTGGATGTTCGTAAGTGTGGATGTTCATCAGTGTGGATGTTCGTAAGTGAAGATGTTCATAAGTGTGGATGTTCATAAGTGTAGATGTTCGTAACTGTGCATGTTCGTAAGTGCGGATATTCGTAAGTGTGGATGTTCGTAAGTGTGGATGTTCATAAGTGTGGATGTTCGTAAGTGTGGATGTTCGTAAGTGTGGATGTTCGGAATGTGTGGCTGTTTTTAAGTCAGGCGTTCGTAAGTAGGGGAGTGTCTGTACAGCAATACCCCGGTGCCTGTACAGCAATACCCCTGTGTAAGTTGCGGATGCGTTCCTGAAAGGTGCGACAATGAGTATCGAAATGGCGTCAAGCAAAGCAATTTTTCCCACGAGGGCTAAACAAAGACAACGTGGGGTACAGTGACGCACTGTGTTCACGTGCACATATTCACCAGATATGTACCCACAAGGTTAGATTCAATGCCTAAGTGTTGCTATTCATAAGTGCAGATATTCGTTAGTGTGGTTGTTCGTAAGTGTGGATGTTCGTAAGTGTGGATGTTCGTAAGTGTGGACGTTCGTAAGTGTGGATGTTCTTAAGTGTGGATGTTCGTAAGTGTGGATATTCATAAGTGTGGCTGTTTGTAAGTGTGGATATTCATAAGTGTGGCTGTTTGTAAGAGTGGAGGTTCGTAAGTGTGGATATTCATAAGTGTGGCTGTTTGTAAGTGTGTATATTCATAAGTGTGGCTGTTTGTAAGTGTGGATGTTCGTAAGTGTGGATGTTCGTATATGTGGATGTTCATAAGTGTGGATATTCGGAATGTGTGGATGTTTTGAAGTGGGGCGTTCGTAAGTAGGGGACTGCCTGTACAGTAATACCCCGGTGTACGCTGGGGATGCATTCCTGAAAAGTGCGACGACTAGTATTGAAACGGTGTCCATCAAAGCAATTTTTACCACGAGGGCTAAACAAAGACAACATAGGGTACAGTGACGCTCTGTGTTTACGTGCACATCTTCACCCGAGACGTACCCACAAGGATAGATTCAATGCCTAAAAATACTGTACTCAACACGAGTGTGCAGCGGTGAACTTTAACACCAATTATACAAGGTGCGAGAAGATAAAATACACGATAAAATCACCAAATACTCTGCGCAAAAAAATATATTGTAGTTTAATACGTAGGCTTTCGCGACCAATATTATTCATAATAAAGGTTTTTAGACCTCCTTGCCAGTACCAAAATGTAATAATAGGTTTTTCCCCTTTTTTCTGGCAATAAAACTGAAACCTTCTTACAAGGATTAATGTCTGAATTAACCACAATACCTGCAGTCAAAATGCAAACAAAAAATATACTATGATAATATATGCATTGTCCTTGAAACTGATTGGTCCACACCAAGGGATGGCTTTCTTTTGAGCCTCGACCCAATTGGTGTTCGACCACATGACGCCAGAAGGCCACAACACAAGCGGCCTTCATCAAGGCCGCTTGTGTTGTGGCCGAAACGTCGTGATTTTTGTTGTTTTATTTTTTACCTACGTGACTTTACCGAATAGAACCAAAGAGTATGGATCCTTGCAGTCACGAAAGCTTTAAATCTAGAAAAGTTTTGCTGGTAATTACATCCAGCATCATCGGGCAAATTGCCCGATGAAACGTTATTTATAAATGTCGCGACATTTATAAATAACGCGATCTAACCCAAAAACCTTTATTACGAATAACATATTGTACTCTACAGTACAGTTCAGTACATTTCTTCTTGCGCGATAGAGCGTGGTAGTTGGTGTACAGGGTAGGTGGAGGAGGAGGCTGAGAGGTGTTTGAACATCTTAACACAACTCCTGTGGTATTGCCAGAAAGGGAAAACATCGATTCTTATTTTTCATATTAACAGTAAAGTAACGACGTTGTTGCGAAACGACCTACTAACGGGGCGAGACATAACATCGTGGAATTGCTGTACAACGCACGTGCCCACATGATACAGACAAAGACGTCCCGTGTGGCCCACAGAGGCTGCTGGGGCAAGTGCTGTTAGCGAGTAGCGCCTGAGGAGGTGCGCGAAGGGGTCGTGGTGCGGCCCGGCCGCGTTTGTATCCCTTTTTTGTCTACCAAATGCTGATGTTTACACACTGCGCCAGGTGCTTATTTAAGGCAGAGTCGACCTAGGGGAGGGGGTCCAAGACCGGTTTCGCAAATTCTTCACCGACGTTGACCGTGAGCGGGAATCGAACTCGGATCACCGCCACCCCACAATCACACAAACACGCAAGGAAAAATATCCCCCGTGTAACCTCAACATGTTGTTGGGGCAAGTGCTGTTAGCGAGCACCGACGAAGGCACGCACGGCACACGAGGGAGTGGGTGACCAGCACCACGCCCGGCCGCCTTTGTCTCCATTGTGGCGATGTTTACACATCACACCAGGCAATCATGTGAGGCTCAGTCGATCTAGGGAAGACCCAGGACAAATTTGGATAATCGTCACTGGTGTTGGCCATGAGCGGGAATCGAACTCGGGTTGCCAGGTTCGTAGCGTACCATGCTATCCACTAGATTACTACTCCCCATACACAGAAACACATTTTCGCACACACCACCTTCTCAGGCTCACCTTCACTGTCCTGTAAGCACTGCACGGTTGTGAGCACCCGGCCCTGGGGCTTCAAGTCCAGCTGGGAACACATAAGCACGAACATACAGACACACTCATCAGCACACACACACGTAGTCCGCAGGCCCAAGCAGCTTCTGTTTCGTCGGAAAGAGGGGGCTGAAGGAGCCAGGCATGTGTTCTAGATAAGAGATGGGCTGATGTGGTACAGGAGGATGTGGAGCTAAGTGGAATTGCAATGATGAGTACCAGGGGTGTCAATATTGGGCTCTGCGGAGGAGGCTCGTGAAGGACGCTACTGGGCAGTCGGAGGCAATCGCCCTCCAGCAACGGCGGAGGACGGAGGAGCTCACAACAACGAGCGGAGCGTCGAGTGGATAAAACGCAGAACATTGGCACAGCAGGGGGGTACAACTGGTGCATCTGCAAGTCATCTCAGTCGGTCAACCAATGGTACCACCTGGGTCTGTTCCGTGCCCTCGTGTCGGCAGTGAACGTTCGACATTACACGCAGCCTCAAGGTGCACCTAGCCTGGCACAAGCGCCGTGGTGCCGTCATTGGCGCTTCGTGGTGAATGGCGGCCGTTGTATTAATGAGTACGGGGAGCGGTAGTGCAGCGGTTTGCGCACAGCGCTACGAACCCTGCGACCCAAGTTCGATTCCCGCTCACGGTCACCATCAGTTACAATTATCTGAACCGGTTGTTGGGCCTCCCCTAGGTCTACTCAGCCTCAAATGAGTACCTGGTTCGGCGTGTAAAAAACTGGGGAGAAAAAGGCGGTCGGGCGTGGTGCTGGCTACCCGCCCCTTCATGTGCCGTGCCGACCTTCTAAGGTGGTGCCCGCTAACAGCACTTCCCCTAACAGTCTGCGAAGGTTACACGGGAGGCATCTTTGCCTTTGCGTGTGTGTTCTTTAACATGGGGTTTAGTGGTGATTGGGATGAAGGTGGAGGGGTCACCAGCCCCTCGCACCCGTCCAGAGCAACTGTGGTGGCTGTGAGTGCCACGGGGGGAACAGCCTGATCGCTATCGGCCTCCACTCCCCACCCCCAGTGGCATTGCTCACAGCTACCGCAGCGTGACCATTCGGCAACTACCGAGGAGGAGGTGGGTGGGTGGGGGCCGTTTTGCCAGTCTCTAAGTCGCTCTATCATTGAAGCAATCCTGCTCAGTATGAGGGACTGCAGTTCCAGACATTTAGCCAACGTGCACTTAGTTTCTTCTTCTTCCGTACGGCTGCAGACATAGATGCAGAGACAACGACTGCAATTTCACATTGGAGGTGGTCAAGCCCATATAACCTTGTCAGGAGCCAGCGGATGAGTGAGTGTATCATCATCATCATTGCCGTGATGTCTCCTTCGTATTTGTGGATCGGGCCCTTGCGTCGTTGCACGTTGTACTACGGTCTCTGTCCTGGATGACCACAGTCGCCACACCACTACAGGAGAGTTTTTAATTTTCCATTTGTGCATCATCAGGTTTCCGCATCTGCTGCTACTGCCACGGTTTGTGCGGTGGATGCGGTTCAGGGTGGACCATAAGGAGCTTCGTGGCATATCACAAACTGCGATAAGCTGACGAGCCAACAGTGCTGTGTCCCCATCGGAGGCATTTGGATCATACGCCTACAAGTCCGAATTCCCCCTCAGATGCCTCAAATATTGGAGGAGGAAGCAGTCTCGACCCCTGCGAGTGGCTAGCTGATGCGCCATCTGTTGTGGAATTATGAAGGGCGATCCGAAATCTAAGACCAGTAGAAATGGTGGCCAAAGATAACATCCGAAGCAAATCGCTGAGGTAGGGTGTTGATTTTATGCAGGCTGTCAATCATTTATATTTTTTTTATTTACCAGGTAAGGCCCACTGAGCTATGTAGCTTTTTCAGAAGCGACCTGGCTATCACAAATGATAGCTCAGCTAAGTGGCTTATCAGCGTGTGGGAATTTAAAACAGCCAAATACCCTAAAAGCGTGATGAGGATTATAAATATGGATGGAAAAACCGGAGGGCCCATAGAAAAATCCACTCGTCGACCATGGGGAGAGAGACGCGCAAACTCCACATATACAGCAGGCGAGGTAGTTAACATCTCCTAACCAATGCGTCATTACAAGTGACCACAGGATTGGAAAGGATGCCCTGGTGGTCCCTTTTGTAAGAAGGGAGGCCACGCTGATGGTAACAACTACAGGGGCATCTCCTTCATCAGTGTGAGGCCAGGAAAGGTACTGGCAATAATTATTCAACATCACCTTCCAGGCACGCTGATTAGAAGTTTTTGGAACCCCAATGTGGTTTCAGACTGGGGCGGTCCTGCACAGATGCCGTAATCTATATCCGTCTGCTACAGCAGAGGTGTAGGAAATTTCAACAGGACCTACATCACTGCTTTATTAACCTGGTGGTCCAGACACTTGTAATGACGCACTGGTTAGGAGATGTTAACTAGCTCGCCTGGATTGCAGGAGGTCGTGGGTTGAATCCCGACCCTGACGCCTGTTGTATATTTGGAGATTGCACATCAGTAGGACAGGGCTCTGGGCTGTTCTTCGTGCTTTTGGGGGCCGCTGTACCCTCTGCTCACATTCATTAAGGGCCTTAATGACGGTGGGTAGGCCTGATTAAAGTTGCGTGGCGATGTTGACACACTGCATCAGGTACTCATTTGAAGCTGACTCGACCTAGGGGATGCCCAGGACCAGTTCAGATAATTGTCACCGGTGTTGCTGGGCCATGGGCGATGACACTGCCGAATATCTTTACCAGGCGGCTGGTGTTTACACATCAAATAAGTACCGAGGCGAGACCCAGGGCCGATTTGGATTATCGTCACTGGTGTTGCCCGTGAGTGGGAATCGAACTCGGGTCGCCTCTGGTACTCATACAAATCACGCCGAAAAGACCTTTAAAGATTTTGATTTAAAGCTTTCGTGACTGCAGGGATTCATATTCTTGGTTCTTTCATCATCAGGTGTGAAACCCACAGCAAGAAAACCACAGCAAGAAAATTTTCTTGCTGTGGTTTTCACACCTGATGATGATTGCTTGTGTTGCAGTCGAAACATCGTGAGAATTTAATTGTTTTATATTTTTATTATTGTATTGTTTCCCTTTACGTGACTTTACCGAAAGAACCAAGAATACCTTTAAAGATGTACGCAGTCTTACGTGCAGTGACAGACTCGTGCAGGAGGCATTGATGTGTCTGCTTATCCACCTTGTGCACGAGGTAAGGTGGGGGGGCTACAATCTCGAGGGATCTACCCAGGATGGAATGGTTTTAAAACTATTCAATCAAAGACAACTTTCAACAACAACACCACGATTCTTTTTTGTTCTCGCCGATGGCTCCAGTTACCCAGAATTCCGCGATGCCCTCGGCGGAGTTCCGGCATTTTTGCACCAGCGACTGGAGCGGCACCTCGGTGTCGGAAATCGGCCGCCCTGCCGCGCTCATCACGATCACCTGGTGGGGGGTTGGGAGGTGGCAGAGGGCAAGGGGGGGGGGGTAGCGGAGTCGGCGGCTGATCCACTCTGAGGCGTCGGTTGATGGGGCGAGGGGCAATCACCCCCGCTCCTCCCCGCCAGTACCCCAACTCGAGAAACTCAATCCTGCTGCGATGTGTTTAATATTTAGCGGAGAGAATGCGCCGCGTGCGTGGCAGTGTGTGTGTGTCTTTAAGGCCAGTTCACGTGGCTTTAAAGTGCACTTAGCCGGGCACAAGCGTGGTGGTGACGTCGCCGCCACGTAGTGGCGAATGCCGGTTGCTTTTGTGTGTTTAATCTTGATTTGAAGCTTTCGTGACCGCAGGAATCCATACTCTGGTTCTTTCGGTAAAGTCACGTAGGTAGTATTATCTAATAATAGATCAATAGATCACTAGTGATCTATTATAATCTAATAATAGATCTAATAATAGATCACTAGTGATCTAGTGATCTATTATAATTTTTTCTACCGATGTGAATTTACCGAAAGAACCAAAGAGTATGTTTTGTGTTTGTTATGAATCTAGGGGATGCTGTTTAGGTCCGATTATTTCCACGATTCATCGTCTCCACGATGCAATTTTGACCCCTGAGTGAGGGATGATGCGTGCATTCAACCCTAACCCCAACTACAAGATTGTAACTAGCCACCTTCCCATTGCTGCGAGCCGCTCTGATGTCTATGTGGTTGTCTCTGCTCTGATGTCTATGTGGCTGTCTCTGCTTTGATGAATATCTGGTGGTGTCTGTCTGATGTCTATGTGGTTGTCTCTGTCTGATGTCTATGTGGTTGTCTCTGTGTGATGTCTATGTGGTTGTCTCTGCTTTAACGTCTATGTGGTTGTCTCTGCTCTGATGTCTATGTGGTTGTCTCTGTGTGATGTCTATGTGGTTGTCTCTGCTCTGATGTCTATGTGGTTGTCTCTGCTCTTATGTCTATGTGGTTGTCTCTGTGTGATGTCTATGTGGTTGTCTCTGTGTGATGTCTATGTGGTTGTCTCTGCTCTGATGTCTATGTGGTTGTCTCTGCTCTGATGTCTATGTGGTTGTCTCTGTGTGATGTCTATGTGGTTGTCTCTGTGTGATGTCTATGTGGTTGTCTCTGTGTGATGTCTATGTGGTTGTCTCTGTGTGATGTCTATGTGGTTGTCTCTGCTCTGATGTCTATGTGGCTGTCTCTGCTCTGATGTCTATGTGGTTGTCACTGCTTTGATGTCTATGTGGTTGTCTCTGCTTCAACGTCTATGTGGTTGTCTCTGCTTTGATGTCGATATGGTTGTCTCTGCTCTGATGTCTATGTGGCTGTTTCTGCTCTGATGTCGATGTGGTTGTCTCTGTGTGATGTCTATGTGGTTGTCTCTGTGTGATGTCTATGTGGTTGTCTCTGCTTTAACGTCTATGTGGTTGTCTCTGCTCTGATGTCTATGTGGTTGTCTCTGTGTGATGTCTATGTGGTTGTCTCTGCTCTGATGTCTATGTGGTTATCTCTTTCTGATGTCGATGTGGTTGTCTCTGCTCTGATGTCTATGTGGTTGTCTCTGCTCTGATGTCTATGTCGTTGTCTCTGTGTGATGTCTATGTGGTTGTCTCTGCTCTGATGTCTATCTGCTTGTCTCTGCTCTGATGTCTATGTGGTTGTCTCTTTCTGATGTACATCTGGGTGTCTTTGCTTTGATGTCTATGTGGTTATCTCTGTCTGATGTCTATGTGGTTATCTCTGTCTGATGTCTATGTGGTTGTCTCTGCATTGATGTATATCTGGTGGTGTCTGTCTGATGTCTATGTGGTTGTCTCTGCTCTGATGTCTATGTGGTTGTCACTGCTTTGATGTCTATCTGGTTGTCTCTGCTTTGATGTCTATGTGGTTGTCTCTGCTCTGATGTCTATGTTGTTGTCTCTGCTTTGATGTCTAAGTGGTTGTCTCTGCTCTGATGTCTATGTGGTTGTCTCTGCTCTGATGTCTATGTGGTTGTCTCTGCTCTGATGTCTATGTTGTTGTCTCTGCTCTGATGTCTAAGAGGTTGTCTCTGCTCTGATGTCTATGTGGTTGTCTCTGCTCTGATGTCTATGTGGTTGTCACTGCTTTGATGAATATCTGGTGGTGTCTGTCTGATGTCTATGTGGTTATCTCTGTCTGATGTCTATGTGGTTGTCCCTGCTCTGATGTCTATGTGGTTGTCACTGCTTTGATGAATATCTGGTGGTGTCTGCTTTGATGTCTATGTGGTTGTCTCTGCTTTGATGTCTATGTGGTTGTCTCTGCTCTGATGTCTATGTGGTTGTCTCTGCTTTGATGTCTATGTGGTTGTCTCTGCTCTAATGTCTATGTGGTTGTCTGTGCTTTGATGTCTATGTGGTTGTCTCTGCTTTGATGTCTATGTGGTTGTCTTTGGTCTGGTGTCTATGTAGTTGTCTCTGTGTGATGTCTCTGTGGTTGTCTCTGCTTTGATGTCTATGTGGTTTCTCTGCTCTGATGTCTATGTGGTTGTCTTTGGTCTGGTGTCTATGTAGTTGTCTCTGTGTGATGTCTATGTAGTTGTCTCTGCTTTGATGTCTATGTGGTTGTCTCTGCTTTGATGTCTCTGTGGTTTCGCTGCTCTGGCACAACTGTGCCGCGCTAGGGCCACGCCAGCTTAGGAAGGAGGCACAGGTTGTTTTTCCACTGGCACAACTGTGCCGCGCTAGGGCCACGCCAGCTTAGGAAGGAGGCACAGGTTGTTTTTCCACTGGCACAACCGAGCCGCACCGAGGCCAGTTCGGCAATAAGGTGGCACCAAGGGCCGTTTTTCGACCGCACAAGCTCAGCCATGCCGCCGACGTCACTGGTAACCAGTTTTGTGACTTCCAGAGCCAGTATGTGGTTCTGAAAACTAGTAACCAGTTAACAACCCTAACACTTGTAACCATTAAATACAAATTGAGTATATGCGGTGTGGGCGCCATCGTTCCCGCAGCGCAGGGCGATCCTGTGGGAAGAAGGCGCCGCTGGCTTTCACAGATGGGAAGAGCCGACCAGTAGTGGGGGAGGCGACGCTCACAATCAGAATATTTACTCAAACTGGAGGAATCCAATGAGCTATACAGCAATTTTTCGCAGATGTTGCCACGTGGCATCCCGATTGAGGACTTTGCGAAATGTGATTTTTTTTTATTAGGACCTCGACGCCGGCACATGGCAACCGGTCTGACTCTGGCGAATGACATGGGCGGGGCCTTTGGCGACCCACCGCGAGTGAAGCGTGGCGTAAAGTTGGAGCGTTAGCAAGCACACAACAACAACAACCGCCATTCACCACTAAGTGGCGGTGATGTCACCACGACGCTTGTGCCAGGCCATGTGCACCTTGAGGCCACGTGAAGTGTCGAACGCCCGCGGGCAGGAGGTCACGGGGCAGACCCAAGTGCCACGGGTCGACTGACTAAGATGACTGAGATGACTGGCTGATGCACCACCTGTGCCCCCTACTGTGCCAACCTGCTGTGCTTTAGCCACCCGGCGCTCCGCTCGTTGTTGTGAGCGTCGCTCATCCGCCCTCCGTTGTTGTTGGAGGGCGACTACCTCCAACTGCCCAGTAAGGTCCTTCACAAGCCTCCTCCACAGAGGCCGATCTTGACACCGCTGGTACCAGTCATCTGCAAGTCCACTCAGCTCCACGTTCTCCTGTACCACATCACTCCATTTCTTCTCTAGCCCGTGCCGCGCCCGTTTAGCCCCCTCGATCCAGCCGAACAAAAGCTGTTTTGGCATGCGGTGGCTGGGCATGCGGGCTACATGACCTAGCCAATGCAACCTTGCCTGCCGGAGGAGCTCACCAATGGGACCTTGCCCAGATCTTTCAAGGATTTGTGAGCTCCTCACACAAACCAGTCTGGTTAAACCCAGGATGGATCGTAGGCAGGCTAGCCTAAATGTTTCTAACCGGCGAAGATGTTCCATTAGGGGGGTCCACGTTTCGCAAGCGTAGAGAATGGAGGGTATGACCGTGGCCGAGAAGACCTGAAGCTTAGTGCGGAGCTACAGACTAGGTAGCTTCCACACAGCGTTACGCAACCGATGAAAAGATATTGCCGCTCGACTGATTCGGAGTGAGACCTCTGCTGTTAAACTGGAGCCGGTCAAAATACCCAGGCAGGTGCTTAGTTTTGGTGGGGCTGATGGTAAGGCCCCATCTCTTAGTGGCATGCTCCAGTCTCAGCAGCAGCGTCTCCAACTCCTCCTCTGAATGAGCAGCTATTACTAAATCATCGGCATACATATAACGTGGTTGAGCAATAGGGAGCCATCGCTTGACCACACCCGGGCATCAATCAGCCTCCCATTATATCTGTACCATATGGAGATTCCCCCGGTACAGCTATTGAAGGCTTCACGAACTACGTGGTCAAAATTGATGTTAAATAATGTGGGACCCAGAAGACATCCCTGTCCCACCCCAAGGTGTACAGGGAATGGCTCTAACTCCCGGCCACGTAGCTTTACCCGGGCCCGCTCACCATCATGAAGGTCCTTAATGATCGTGAGCAGAGGGTCAGGTACTCCAAAAGCACGAAGAACAACCCAGAGCCCAGGCCTACTGATGGTATCATAGGCCTTGACCAGGTCAATAAAGCAGAGATGTACGTCTTGCTGGAATTCCCTACACCTCCGCTGTAACAGATGGACAGAAAATATGTCATCTGTGCAGGACCGCCCTTTCCTGAAACCGCATTGGGGCTCCGCAAGCCTCTCCTCAGCGTGCCTGGCAAGGCGATGTTGAATAATCCTTGCCAGGACCTTTCCCGGCACACTGAGGAGTGAGATGCCCCTGGTTGTTACAGTCTGTGCGGTCCCCATTCTTAAAGAGGGGGACCACCAGGGCATCCTTCCAATCCTGCGGAACCCGTCCAAGCACACACACACCACGGGATTAAGACCGGGTGGAGCAGCCGCTCCGAGCGAGACGCCATTCGCCACAACGCCGTGCACGCCGATCACAACGGCGGTGGCGGTGACAACCACGGTCATAACCGGGGTGAGCCCACCGGTCCCGCGCACCGCGAACCTCCGAAAACGAGTGGCGGCAACGCATGGCGCTGGCGCCCACCTGCAGCAGGTGCTCGTCGTGCAGGAGGGTGTTGAACTTGGTCTCCCAGCGAGGGTACATGGTCGGCTTGTTTTGGATGTAGGTGACGCCGCCTCGCTCTGCGTGGTAGAGGGAGAGACAGTGGGGGCACCCACAGGAGGGAAGGGGGAGGAAGAGGATGCGGAGGAGAAGGCGTCACGACAAAGAGAAGAGGATGGGTCACAGGGAAGAGGGAAAGTCACGAGGGGCAGGGTCATATGGATGAGAGGGGGGAGGGTCATGGGGAGGTTGAGAAGCTGTGGAGGAGGAGCTGTGTATGTTGATGTATGCATACTTCTCAACCCCTTATCAGTGCCTACCTTATACAGACCAATTCAGACCTTATTGGTCACCCCGTGCCCCTTATAAATCTCAGCGTTCATCCTACAAAGTCCCATCACAAGGAAGAAACACAAACAAATAGACTTCAAAAATTCTAGATTTGAAGCTTTCGTGACTGCAAGGAACCATACTCTTTGGTTCTATTCGGTAAAGTCACGTAGGTAAAAAAAATTGTTACCCGGATTGAAACGTCTGTACTCCGTATGGACCTAAAACTCAGATTCCATGTACAAGAATACGGGTAAACCATATGGGTTGAGAGCTATGTTTATGTTGAACTTATTTTGCACCATACGTAAGCCAACCATGCCAATCGGAGGTGTGGAGGAGGCCAAAGTTGTGATGCACTCAGAACAATGTTTCGGTAACTGTTGCCAGCAAACCGTTACAAGCAAAAGTTGTCACTAGCATCATCTCTTGTAACAACAAAACATTCGGCTGGGGCATATTTGATCCAGCTTACCAAGTTGTTTCTGAGTGATCAGTTGATAATTCAAGAGAGTCAGGGATGACTTTAATTTGCAAGAGTGGCCTGGGTCACCCAAATGAATCAACTAAAAAGCAGAGCCAAAGACAACCACAGGACAATCAGAGGAGGTGATGCGGCTTGCACCACTTCCAGCACGCCTTGGTCTCCCCAGGACCAAAGGAAGCCCAGGAGACAGCTGTTAGCCATGGCCTGCAATCAAACTTAGGCTTATAACCTCTGCCGCACCTCTAATTGCATCTCCTATTAGCACGGTTGGCTGTGTACGGTGCAAAATAAGTTCAACATACTTAGGTACATACACGAAAATATCCTTGATGTACTCCGGAGAGGATCACCGAGTGTCAAGACTCTTTTCAGGAGGACGCTGCTACATTGAGATGGTTGGCCAGTTCCATTCACGAGTGTTTGGCTTATGAGTGGAACTATGTGAGTCGATGTGTCTGTGCGTGAGTCGATGGGTCTGTGTGAGTCGATGGGTCTCCGCGTGAGTCGATGGGTCTCTGCGTGAGCCTCTGCATGAGATACATGAAGTGATGGGTCTCTGTGTGAGACGATGGGTGTCCATGTAAGACCGTGGGTATCTGCGTGAGTCTAAGGGTGTCAATGTAAGACCGTGGGTCTCTGCGTGAGTCTATGGGTGTCCATATAAGAACGTGCGTGTCTGCGTGAGTCTATAGGTGTCCACGTAAGACATAGCATGTCTGCGTGAGTCTATAGGTGTCCATGTAAGACCATGCGTGTCTGCGTTAGTCTATGGGTGTCCATGTAAGACCGTGCGTGGCTGCGTGAGTCTATGGCTGTCCATGTAAGACCGTGCGTGTCTGCGTGAGTCTTTGGGTGTCCATGTAAGACCGTGCGTGTCTGCGTAGAGTCTATGGGTGTCCATGTAAGACAGTGGGTGTCTGCGTGAGTCTATGGGTGTCCATGTAAGACCGTGCGTGTCTGCGTGAGTCCTTGGGTGTCCATATAAAACCGTGCGTGTGTGCGTGCTTCTATGGGTGTCCATGTAAGACCGTGCGTGTCTGCGTGAGTCTATGGGTGTCCATGTAAGACCGTGCGTGTCTGCGTGAGTCTATAGGTATCCATGTAAGACCATGCGTGTCTGCGTGAGTCTATAGGTGTCCATGTATGACTGTGGGTGTCTGCGTGAGTCTATGGGTGTCCATGTAAGACCGTGCGTGTCTGCGTGAGTCTATAGGTGTCCATGTAAGACCGTTCGTGTCTGTGTGAGTCTATGGGTGTCCATGTAAGACCATGCGTGTCTGCGTGAGTCTGTGGGTGTCCATGTAAGACCGTGCATGTCTGCGTGAGTCTAGAGGTGTCCATGTAAGACCGTGGGTGTCTGCATGAGTCTATGGGTGTCCATGTAAGACCGTGCGTGTATGCGTGAGTCTTTGGGTGTCCATATAAGACCGTGCGTGTCTGCGTGAGTCTATGGGTGTCCATGTAAGACCGTGCGTGTCTTCGTGAGTCTATAGGTGTCCGTGTAAGACCGTGCGTGTCTGCGTGAGTCTATGGGTGTCCATGTAAGACCGTGCGTGTCTGCGTGAGTCTATGGGTGTCCATGTAAGACCGTGCGTGTCTTCGTGAGTCTATAGGTGTCCGTGTAAGACCGTGCGTGTCTGCGTGAGTCAATGAGTGTCCATGTAAGACCATGGGTGTCTGCGTGAGTCTATGGGTGTCCATGTAAGACCGTGCGTGTCTGCGTGAGTCTATAGGTGTCCATGTAAGACCGTGCATGTCTGCGTGAGTCTATAGGTGTCCATGTAAGACCGTGCGTGTCTGCGTGAGTCTGTGGGTGTCCATATAAGACGGTGCGTGTCTGCGTGAGTCTATGGGTGTCCATGTAAGACTGTGGGTGTCTGCGTATGTCTATGGGTGTCCATTCAAGACCATGGGTGTCTGCGTGAGTCTATGGGTGTCCATATAAGACCGTGCGTGTTTGCGTGAGTCTATGGGTGTCCATGTAAGACCGTGCGTGTCTGCGTGAGTCTATGGGTGTCCATGTAAGACAGTGCGTGTCTGCGTGAGTCTATGGGTGTCCATGTAAGACCATGGGTGTCTGCGTGAGTCTAGGGGTGTCCATGTAAGACTGTGCGTGTATGCGTAAGTCCTTGGGTGTCCATATAAGACCGTGCTTGTCTTCGTGAGTCTATTGGTGTCCATATAAGACCGTTCATGTCTGCGTGAGTCTATGGGTGTCCATGTAAGACCATGGGTGTCTGTGTGAGTCTAGGGGTGTCCATGTAAGACTGTGCGTGTATGCGTAAGTCCTTGGGTGTCCATATAAGACCGTGCTTGTCTTCGTGAGTCTATTGGTGTCCATATAAGACCGTTCATGTCTGCGTGAGTCTATGGGTGTCCATGTTAGACTGTGGGTGTCTGCGTGAGTCTAAGTGTGTCCATGTAAGACCGTGCGTGTCTGCGTTAGTCTATGGGTGTCCATCTAAAACCGTGCGTGTCTGCGTGAGTCTATGGGTGTCAATGTAAGACCGTGCATGTCTGCGTGAGTATATGGGCATCCATGTAAGACCGTGCATGTCTGCGTGAGCCTATAGGTGTCCAGGTAAGACCGTGCGTGTCTGCGTGAGTCTATGGTGTCCATATAAGACAGTGCGTGTCTGCGTGAGTCTATGGGTGTCCATGTAAGACCCTGGGTGTCTCCGTGAGTCTATAGGTGTCCATGTAAGACCGTGCATGTCTGCGTGAGTCTAAGGGTGTTCATGTAAGACCGTGCATGTCTGCGTAAGTCTATGGGTGTCCATGTAATACCGTGCGTGTCTGCGTGAGTCCATAGGTGTCCATGTAAGACCGTGCGTGTCTGCATGAGTCAATGAGTGTCCATGTAACACCGTGGGTGTCTGCGTGAGTCTATGGGTGTCCATGTAAGACCGTGCGTGTCTGCGTGAGTCTATAGGTGTCCATGTAAGACCGTGCGTGTCTGCGTGAGTCTATGGGTGTCCATGTAAGACTGTGCGTTTCTGCGTGAGTCTATGGGTATCCATGTAAGACCGTGGGTGTCTGCCTGAGTCTGTGGGTGTCCATATAAGACCGTGCATTTCTGCGTGAGTCTATGGGTGTCCATGTAAGACCGTGCGTGTCTGCCTGAGTCTGTGGGTGTCCATATAAGACCGTGCGTTTCCACGTGAGTCTATGGGTGTCCATGTAAGACCGTGGGAGTCTGCGTGAGTCTATGGGTGTCCATATGAGACCGTGCGTGTCTGCGTGAGTCTATGAGTCCATATAAGACCGTGCTTGTCTGCGTGAGTCTATGGGTGTCCATGTAAGACCGTGCGTGTCTGCGTGAGTCTATGGGTGTCCATGTAAGACCGTGCGTGTCTGATAGAGTATATAGGTGTCCATGTAAGACCGTGCGTGTCTGCGTGATTCTGTGGGTGTCCATATAAGACTGTGCGTGTCTGCGTGAGTCTATGGGAGTCCATGTAAGAACGTGCATGTCTGCGTGAGTCTATGGTGTCCATGTAAGACCGTGGGTGTATGCGTGAGTCTATAGGTGTCCATGTAAGACCGTGGGTGTCTGCGTGAGTCTATGGGTGTCCATGTAAGACCGTGCGTGTCTGCGTGAGTCTATAGGTGTCCATGTAAGACCGTGCGTGTCTGCGTGAGTCTATAGGTGTCCATGTAAGACCGTGCGTGTCTGCGTGAGTCTATGGGTGTCCATGTAAGACTGTGCGTTTCTGCGTGAGTCTATGGGTATCCATGTAAGACCGTGGGTGTCTGCCTGAGTCTGTGGGTCCCCATATAAGACCGTGCATTTCTGCGTGAGTCTATGGGTGTCCATGTAAGACCGTGCGTGTCTGCCTGAGTCTGTGGGTGTCCATATAAGACCGTGCGTTTCCGCGTGAGTCTATGGGTGTCCATGTAAGACCGTGGGTGTCTGCGTGAGTCTATGGGTGTCCATATGAGACCGTGCGTGTCTGCATGAGTCTATGAGTCCATATAAGACCGTGCTTGTCTGCTTGAGTCTATGGGTGTCCATGTAAGACCGTGCGTGTCTGCGTGAGTCTATGGGTGTCCATGTAAGACCGTGCGTGTCTGATAGAGTATATAGGTGTCCATGTAAGACCGTGCGTGTCTGCGTAATTCTGTGGGTGTCCATATAAGACTGTGCGTGTCTGTGTGAGTCTATGGGAGTCCATGTAAGAAAGTGCATATCTGCGTGAGTCTATGGGTGTCCATGAAAGACCGTGGGAGTATGCGTGAGTCTATAGGTGTCCATGTAAGACC